CATAATTAATTTTACTTATTAAATTTTGGTAAATAGAAATAATGTGGTTTAAATATTTCCATATCAGTATTTTAATTTAATATTGATATGCATATTAAATTTCCTGAAGTATTGCAATTTATTTAGGACTTATGGGTTAATATATATTAATATATAAAAATCCAAGTATGCTATGTATATTCATAAATTATTTTATTATAATTGTACATTCATAAAAGCATGCATTAAAGTTGGATTAACATATTATTACATAGTTTCTATATTAAATGTCATTCAATTTTTAGGATCCTTAGGCCAATATTTGACATTATGGTCTATTAAGACAGCTTGTTTGGTTTCTCATTTAATTTTGAGCATATTTTAGTCCTATATTTCACTTGGGACTTTAAAACATATCTTAGACAAGCTATTTGAGACCTATCTTGGGTCATTAAAGTATGGATCCCACCATTTTGATTGATATTTTAATAATAATTATAACTATTTTATTTTGACTTATAACATGTTTATTATGGTAATAATATTGATTATTATGCATAACATGTTCACTAAGTCTTAATTATTACTAACTACCATATTATGTTAATGGTATTAATTATTAAGTTTGGATATATTTCAGTACTAGACCATTTTATATCCATGTCATAACTCACTTGGACCATTGAGTTTATGAGTCTAATTTGAGTGATTAAGTGCTATAATTATTATATTGGGTCTATTTATGAGCCATTAAGAATTTAAGGATTATAATTGATATTTTGGCCATTAAGAATTACAACTATTGTTTAAGTTGATTATATATATTTTAATCTATCAATAGTTTTCAGGGCATTAATAATAATATTAATTCCTTTAATGATATAGTAAGCAATATAGTTGGTATATTGTCTTTACAATGGTAATTTGATTATTACTATAATTTCAGTCTCCCTGAAAGACATTATAGTCTTGGTTAATTAATTATTATGTGGTAATATGAGATTGGCATTCAGTATCCCCTTAATTATGATTTTGCCATTTATTAAGTTATATTTGACATTATTAATTACTATTATTAAGTTTAGGGGCTAATCTCGTTTATTACCTTTCATAGTAATTATTATTTCTTGGTAATCTATTATGTTTGGAAAGATTACCTGTTTAGTGTTTATTGTTACGTGACGTTACATTGAGGTTACTGACGATGAAGATGGGAGAATATAGCACTATGGGAGATGCAATTTGCATCATTAAGGTTAGTCATTAAGTTTTATCATTATTTATTTTTGGTAATTAGTTCTATAGTTATAGTTTGACTGCTATAATTTTGAAATTGCCACATTTTATTTCCTTAAGAAAAATGGAAATATTAAAGAATGTATATTACCATACTTTGGTTGTTATTACCAAATATTAATGGTGATTAAAATGTTATTTATTAGCATTAATATTTTAATGATAACATTATTATTATGGTTTATTTATGAATCCTAAATTGTTTCCAATTATATTTAAGTGGCAATGTTTCAGATAAGAATTTTTTTTAGGCAACTACTGACTATTGCCATTATTGTACATTTATTCCATAGTTCATTCAGTCTTTGAATTATGATTAATGTTTTTGCCCATATTTTGTTAAGTATGAATAAATGAATATTTGGTGTATTTTCATACTCTTTAGATTGTTTTATGCATTTGATCACATTAACAGGGCGTTTGGTTGGAGGGATTTTAAATTCCCTTCCCACTTAATTCCCACCTAATTCCAAAGACCATTAAATTCCGTAGTTTGGTTGGAGGGAATTGCAATTCCATGGAATTGCAATTCCCCCATTTTCATGGAATTAAAATCCCATGTCCCCTGGTATTTTAATTCCTGGGAAAAAAAGATAGTGATGAGTCAAAATTACCCCTTCCTTTTTTAACCTAAAATTAATGTCTAACAACAATAATGGATATTTTTAAAATTTATACTACTTATTCCCTTTCAATTCCCATGTATACCAAACATTGGAATTGAAATTCCCAGTAATTCTATTCCTGTCAACCAAACACTGGAATTTAAATTCCCACTTTATTCCCAGTAATTCAACTCCCATGGAATTACAATTCCTTTCCCACATAATTCCCCCCTCCAAACAAACGCCCTGTAAGTGCATAATATTGAGTTTAATTATGCAATTAGATTTTGTGAGATTTTGATTTACAAATGACAACATATCATTTTGGTTTGATATTGTTAGAATGTTTAAATTCAGTTATTTCTCATAAATTTGATCTTGCTTTATGCATTAAACATTTTGTCATGGGCTTACAGTTTAAAATTTCAAAATTATTGAAATCTCATATTGTAAATTGCTTTAAACTATGCAATTTGTTTGAAATATATGAGTTTAATGTTTAATTTTATGCATGTTTGTCCTAAGCATAATATTTTGTTTTAAATTATGCAATTCTTATTATGCATTTAGAAATGCGTAAATTTAGGATGGAATTATATTAGTTCCTACATAAGTTGGACTAATGCATAAACTTTAGTTGCGGTAGTGCCTGAATTTAAGCACGTTTAGTCTGTTAATTTAGTTCATCAATTTAAAACCTTATCTGTAGGTGAATATACAATCTTTAGATCTTCCAAACGATTTTACTTCAAACATGAGAACACATAACTTAGGGAAGTTTCTTGGGGAGGAATACTAGTTCTATGGCCCTGGCTTAAAAGCCTTGTTGCTACTAGTCCCCTTGCGACGCTACTCTGTCTAAGGAGTTGGTATTTAACCGAGCTTCATCTCGACTAACTTTCCTGGGAGTATACCTAATAATTGTCTATCATGAATTGGTTTAATTTGTTTGTTTGGCTTTAAATTCCCCTTTTGCCAAGTGATTACAATTTTATATTAGTTAAAGAGTAGCCTCAACATCTTTAATTTACTAACATACATTTTTCAATTATACCTCAAACCCTTAGGTTACCATGTGTCAAAATCTGAACCATAGCCCTTCCAATGTATCTAGGAAAAAATAGAAAGCACATAAGGTTCAGAGATATTTGAGGCCTTTCTAAAGAAGATAGCAACTCACATGAGTTTCAAATGTACCTTAAAGTATAGTATAGTCCAAACTCTTTAATATTAGGACTATATTATCCATATTAGACTAGAACTATATTATTCGTGTTAGACTAGGATTCTATCTAGCATCTCTATATATTCGCTCCCTGTACTCTCAGACATTATTATTGAATACAACACAATTATATTCTCATCTGGTATCAGTTAACTAGGGTTATTATGAGGGCCAAAATAACGTGAAACACAGACCAAAATAATTTCTTGTAAAGACACGACGTCACCTCGCTTCGTAGCAGTAGCCGATGGCATAAACCAAGATACACCGTATGAGAAGCAGTCCAGTGAACGACGTGGCATTGATGATCCTTGTTAAATTTGTAAACGTTTTGGTCACACGGGAGCCAATTGTTTTTGACTCTATGATGATCCTTGTCAAATTTATAAACGTTTTGGTCACACGGGAGCCAATTGTTTTTGGCGCTATGATGATCCTTGTCAAATTTGTAAATGTTTTGGTCACACGGGAGCCAACTGTTTTCGGCTTATTTAGGGGCTCTGGGTTTTCAGGCTAATGTGGCCGTCTCTGGTGATAATGGTGATTCCAACGGTCCTCATCAGGGGTTCCCTGACACTGGTGCTACAAATCATGCTACGCCTGATTCTTCTTTGATGACTTCTGCAACACGTTATGATGGCCCGGAGACTCTACGTCATGCCCAACGATTAATTAATGTGTTATAATTTGTAAATAATAATATATATAAATTGCCATAATTGTTAAATGAGGTACCAACATGATATAATTATCATGACAAATTAAATATTAATAGCACATCATTAATAACAAATTGTGGTATATAATATATAGACTATTTTAGTACATTTTTTTAACATTTTATTAATTAATTCAATGAAAATATTATTTGTGGATATTATTTTTGATATATTGATGGATGTTTTGAAAATCTTATATTCCAAATGCACGAAGAATTACTTTAAGGATATATTTCTGTAAATAACATAAAAATTAATTTACAAACCATTTAAAATTTAATTTTTAACATAAACAAAACGAATTCAAATGCTAAAAAATGGCCAGTAAATTAAAAATTGATTATAAAAATAGACTCATTTGAATACTGATATCTTAATATTTTATTAAATTAATTATTTATATTATTTTTATCTTCCTTTTCTATGTTTTAAGGCATGTTTTCAATGCGTCTTTATCATTTTTCATTCATTCCTTGGTAATTGTGTTTAATACGAAGTAAAAAGTTATTGTATTGGTGATTTTTATTTTTATTTTGTCAAGTAGACTCTTAAATCTATTTTAAAAAATAAAAAAATAAAATAGTAATGTGCATTTTCTAAGAATCTATTTTAAGAATATTTATCCATATAATTACTTGATATGAAGTTAATTGAATGTGCATTTTCTAATGAAAATCCATCATCTCCTAATCTTTGGTCATTAAGCACGTATGGCTTAAACTTCTTTGTGCTGCCAACAAATAAGAATATACTGTATATTATAATAAGTGGAATCATGGCTTAAGCCCCTTTCAAGACAAATAATTCATTCCTGTAGTATTCGAAACTGTCTTGCACCACCGCTGAAGTACTTCTCCAGTAAGCCGGTGAACATGGATGGCGGCGGCAAAGTGGTGTTCCGCAACTGCTCTGAAACCAAAGAAAAATAAAACACTGTTGAAAACACATACCAGGCAACAAAGAAACAAAATAGTGCAGCATCCTCATGCTTTGGACCCTTGAGTGAAACAAACACAAACAGCATCAGGCAAATAAATACATGTTGAGTGAGCAGACCCTGCAAGTTTTAGACTTTTTTTTTTTTACCATGCACAACTCCCAAAAAAATTGAATCAAATGAGATTTCGTGAATTGCAAGTATATATACATCGGAGGGTGACAAACGAGAGGGCAAAGATGGAATTCAAGATTTATAACAGTTAGTTATAACAGCTTTTCCCCCCCAATGTATCCCTGTACTTAAACTGCCTCATCTTCTCTCTTGTAAAACTGTTAAGCAGATTTCCACTCACAAATGTTCAATTAGTAAAAGTTCATCTTCCTTCTCTACTGCTCCTTGATTTCCATCATGGTATAAGAGCGCTACACACCGCCACACTTCTCATACGCCGCCGTCGTCATCGGCACTAGCAACACCAATCAACAGATTCCGGTCGCTCAAACACCACTTGCTCAAGCTGTTTCTGAGGAAATTCCGCAGAGGAATCAGACGCAGAGAAGCTACAACTCAGAAGAAATGGACAATCCATTCTTCCTCAGCCCCAACGACAGTCCCTGTACCATCCTTGTCAACCTGCCATTGTCAGGGAGCTCTAACTATGGCACTTGGTCGGTCTCTATGCGGATGGCCCTGGAGATAAAAAACAAATGGGGCTTGGTTGATGGCAGCATCGTGACGCCTAGCAGAGACGATGCTCAATACCTAGCCTGGAGGCGCTGCAATTTGATAGTCTGTTCTTGGCTATTCAAATCTGTAGACACAACAATCGCACAAAGCATCATACATTTTGACAAATGCAGAGATATTTGGGAAGATTTGCGAAAGAGATTCTCGCAATGTGACGCTCAGCGGATTTCGATTCTGCAAAGTGAAATATACAATCTGAGACAAGGAACTCTTTCGATCAGTGATTACTACACGAAATCATGCACACTGTGGGAACAGATGAATACACTCAGATCGATTCCAATCTGTCGATGCAATCCGAGGTGCTCATGTGGTCTCACTGCTGAAGTCAGAAAAGAAAGAGACACAGATAAGGTAATTCGTTTTTTTGCAAGGACTGAATGAAGATTACTCTAGCTTGAAATCGAATGTTCTTGTCTTAGATCCCTTACCTGAGATCTATAAGGTGTTTGTCATGGCCGAGAAGCTAGAAAGACAGATTAATTTTGCCAATTTGAGTCTAAGGAATCTAGACATTAGCCATGCTAATGCAGTACAGAATGTCCCAAACGAAGAACTCATATCTGCTGTGAACAATTATAATGGTAAACGCAACAACTTGATGAAAGCCAAATTCACCTTTTGTGGTATGATGGGGCATACAATTGACAAATGTTACAAGAAACACGGTTACCCCCCGGTTGGGTGCCGGGTTTCAAGTCTAAAGGAAAGCAGCAGGTTGCAGGAGCAGTCACAAACAATGTAGGAGATCTGGGAATCTCATCTGATCAACTATTCAAAATCATGAGCATCCTTCAGCCACAAACTGGACAATCTTCTGGAACCACTAGTCCTAACACAAGTGCTGCAGTTCATCTTACACCCACATTTGATGAACAACAGCTCAATGATGAAGGAAAGTCTTCTATACTACATATTAACTCCCTTGCTCTTTGCTCGTCCACTTGGATTCTTGATTCCGGTGCTACAAACCACATTGTATGCTCCCTTGATTTTATGGTTAACCGGCGAATAACAAAAGGGACAGAGGTAAATTTACCTACTGGTCAATGTGTTCCTGTTACCCACATGGGAGATGTGAAATTGAATGATGCTTTATGGCTCAAAGATGCATTATGTATACCTTCTTTCAAATTTAACATTGTCTCTGTCAGCAAGCTGGTGCAACACACAAAATATAAATTGATTTTTATGGATGGGCAGTGCTCGATTCAGGAGAAATATGGGCAGAAGGTTGGTTTAGCTAAGCATGATAGAGGTCTATACATCTTGACAGATCCACCATCACTCGTGGATGCATGACATACAATTCATTGCGGCAATGCTAGGATCTGGCACAGACGGTTGGGACATTTCCCAATAAATAAGCTGCATCTGTTTAGCAATATTGATGTTTCAAATGACTCAGATAATAGAAATATGGCTTGTGATATCTGCCACTTAGCTAAGCACAAGCGTGCTCCTTTTCCTTTGAGTACTTCTGTGTCAGATGCATGTTTCGATTTAATTCACGTTGACATATGAGGTCCTTTCCCGGTTTACTCTCTAAAAGGAGAACAATACTTCCTAACAATCGTAGATGACTTCTCGAGGTTTACTTGGTTGCATATGATGAAAAGTAAATCTGAAGCTAGAGTGCTTATTAAACAGTTTCCGGCTTATGTTTTAACTCAATTTGGTGCTTTGATTAAGATCATTCGCAGCGACAACGGATATGAGTTCAATATGGATGAATTTTTCTCAGAGAAAGGTATCATACACCAACGTTCTTGCGTCAATACCCCGCAACAAAATGCAATAGCAGAATGGAAGCATCAGCATATCATGAATGTGGCAAGGGAATTACGATTTCAAGCTTGTCTTCCACTCCAGTTTTGGAGCCATTGTGTGATGCACGCAGCGTATATCATAAACAGGCTCCCGTCTCCTGTAATCAATGGAGCGAATCCATATCAGAAGCTGCACAACAAAGAGCCAGATATTACCTCTCTGAAAGTTTTTGGGTGTCTCTGCTTCGCTGCCACACTGCCTACCAACAGAAACAAAATGGAGCCAAGGGGGAGGAAATGCATGCTTCTGGGAATACCGGCTGGTGTTAAGGGATACCTACTATATGAATTAAATGATGGCTCTCTATTTGTCTCAAGAGACGTCACATTCTATGAAAATGAGTTTCCCATGGCTGAGCAGGATCAGTTGCAACAAAAAATCAGATGAGCCATCTCTACCGTTGATCCCCATAAACACTCACATGGAGCTTGAGACTCTTGCTCAGCATAGTCCTAGTACCAGGCCAGAACTACCAGAAATGCAACATTCCAGTAGTGAGTCGAACAATCCACCACACATGGATAATGAATATGAAGCTGGTCAAGAAGTTCCCTCAGATCATCAGTCTCCCAGAAACACAAACATGCAGCCTCAAGAAGCCCCTCCAGATCATCAACCTCCCAGAAACATAATCATGCAGCCCAGGAGATCGGATAGACACAGGCGTGCCCCTAACAAATTACATGTCTATTATTGTGATATAGTCATAAACAATAGAACATCTCCTCATGCCATATCCAAAGTAATATCTTATGATGCACTTTCTACACCTCACAAATTTTTCTCAATGGCAGTAACATCTGTGGAAGAACCACGCACATACAACCATGCCATTCGTCATGAATGCTGGAAAAATGCTATGGCAACCGAGATTAAGGCACTACAAGATAATGACACATGGGAGATAGTGGATTTACCACCCGACAAGATGCCAATTGGGTGTAAGTGGGTGTACAAAACAAAGCTCAAAGTAGACGGTTCAATCGAGCGTTACAAAGCAAGGTTGGTGGCCAAGGGTTATGCACAACAATTGGGAGTTGACTACCTAGAAACCTTCTCACCAGTGGCACGACTCACAACTATTTGTGTATTCTTAGCTCTAGCAACCTCTCGCAATTGGCACACTCATCAACTCGACATCAACAATGCCTTCTTGCATGGAAGCCTAGATGAAGAGGTATATATGTTACTACCACCTGGATTTAAAGGGGAGAAGCCGGGACAAGTTTGTAAACTCCTTAGATCTCTTTATGGTCTCAAGCAAGCCAGCCGACAATGGAATTCAAAGCTAAGCAGTGCATTGTTGAGCAAAGGCTTTGAACAATCTAAGTCGGACCCCTCGTTATTCATCAGAGGAAATGGTACAGATTTTATTGCAATCCTTGTTTATGTTGATGATATATTGGTCTCCAGTCCAAACTTGTGTCTTATTCAGGAGTTAAAATCCTTCCTTGACACCACTTTCAAAATCAAGGACCTAGGCAATCTTGGATATTTCTTAGGCATTGAAGTCCATAACAGTGAGTCAGGGCTGAATCTCTGCCAAAGAAAATATGCTCTTGACATATTGGCTGAAGCTGGCTTCTTATCCTGTAAACCCACAAGCACTCCTATGGTTCCAGGGCACAGATTAACCAAACAAGGAGGTGATGTTCTTCTAGACACTAGCAGCTACAGAAGGCTTGTTAGCCGGTTGCTCTATCTAACAGCGACTAGGCCAGATATCACCTACGCTTTCCAACAGCTTAGCCAGTTCGTGGACACTCCCACAAGCGAACACCTAGCTGCAGCTCACAGGGTATTACGCTATATAAAGAAGTCCCCAGGCCAGGGTCTATTTTATCCAAAGAATCACGCAGTACATCTCAACGTATTCTTGGATTTAGACTGGGGATCATGCCCGGAGACCCGTAAGTCCATCACTAGTTTCTGTATATTTCTTGGCCCTGCACTTGTCTTATGGAAAGCTAAGAAGCAGGTCATTGTATCCCGGTCTTCATCGGAGGCAGAATATAGAGCTCTTGCGGTCACCGTGTGTGAAGTTCAATGGATCACAACTCTGCTTCAAGACTTGCAACTGAAGCCAAATAAACCAGCAGCGCTGTTCTGTGACAATAAATCGGCTATCGTAATTGCAGAAAATCATGTCTTTCACGAAAGAACTAAGCATATAGACATTGATTGTCACATTGTAAGGGAGAAGGTCACACAAGGGCTTGTCAAGCTTCTATCAGTCCCCTCCACAGCTCAAGTAGTAGACAGTTTTACAAAGGCACTACCCCCTTCGATGTTCCAACTCTTTCTATCTAAGCTTGGCATCCAAGACATGCATGCTCCAGCTTACCCGGGGGGGGGGGGGGGGGGGAGGTGGTATCAGAGGGTGACAAACGAGAGGGCAAAGATGGAATTCAAGATTTATAACAGTTAGTTATAACAGCTTTTCCCCCCCAATGTATCCCTGTACTTAAACTGCCTCATCTTCTCTCTTGTAAAACTGTTAAGCAGATTTCCACTCACAAATGTTCAATTAGTAAAAGTTCATCTCCTTCTCTACTGCTCCTTGATTTCCATCAATATAAACTAAACATACAAAATCCATAATGAAAAATGCTCTCTAGCAACTCTCCAGAGGAAAACCAGCAAAGAAGCACTGTTGGGCGGTGCGAACGCCGGAGGACCAAGACCTCCTCGAACGAAGCACAAAGAAATCTAAAACGTGTGGAGAAGAGATCCCAGCCGTAGTCGATAGCGTGGCTATGGAGGGTGTTGAGGTTCAGATGGGAACGCAACAAGAACAGCCGGCTAACCCACCAGTAGAGAATGCGAGCCCGCAGCATGCACCAGAGGTGGAACAACCAAAGGGGGCGTCCTACAAGGACACGATTATGGGAACAAATGGATACACAATAGACGATAAGGAAATGGAGGATCTGGTTTCAGATGATGATGAGGTTGATCCAGATGAGGACCCAGAATGCCCTGTAATACCACTAACAAGGGAAGACAAGATCCGTATGAGAAAGTCATGGAAATAGGCTCTTATTGTAAAAGGTCTTGGAAGAAAGGTGGGCTACACATACCTAGTACGGAGATTGAAAGCAATATGGAGGCCAAAATCAAAGATGGATGTTGTTTCCTTGGATGATGTCTATTTCATTGTCCGTTTCTGGTTGAAGGATCATTATGAGTTCGCTAAGTATGGTGGCCCTTGGATGGTGAGGGAGCATTACCTAATCGTCCAGGATTGGAAACCAAATTTTGATCCTAAGGCCGAGAAAACTGAACGAGTTCTTGTTTGGGTGAGGTTCCCTGACCTGCCGGTTGAGTATTATGATCAACCGTACCTGATGAAGCTTGGCAGGAGAATAGGGGAACCCAAGTATGTTGACTACGCTACAAGTATTGCATCGAAAGGAAAATTTGCACGAATGTGTGTGGAAGTGAATATCACGAAACTGCTTCTATCCAAATTCACGGCCCGCCTGAAGGTCCGAAAGATCGAGTACGAGGGAATTCACCAGACATGCTTCCAGTGTGGAGTTTATGGACACCTGGCGGACAAATGTGGCCTGAGTAACTCGGCGGAGGGGACGTCTGGTGGCATGCAGGATGACGGAGCTTAGGGAGGAACAAACAAGGAAAGTGGCACAAATTGGCGATACGACTGGAGATCGTGGCAAGATATGGTGCATGGATGTTGGCACCTAAGCGCCAATACTGGCAATATACTACGCAAAAAGGGGGAAACAACCCTAAGGATGGCAAAGACCTGCATGGAAACAAAAACCATAACGGTACTATCAACGTTGAAAAACGAAAACAAGCGGATATGAAAGGAAAGACTGTATAGAATCAAGAGATAAGATTAGCCTCCAAATTTGCTGTGCTGGCGGATGAGGTTTCGGGGGATGTTGTCAAGGATCACGCTGAGGATAGTAATGAGGTGTCTAGAGGTAAACAAGTGCAAGAGAAAGGAAACAAGGGTAACAAGCAAAAAGAAAAGAATAGGAGACCTAATGTGCAAATCAATGAGAAACAAATTGTGAATGACATGCCTAAAGCAAGCACTTCTGGAAGTAAGCAACCTATAAACCAGTTAAAGCCCTCAATCGGGAAGGCAACAACGAGTTCATCTCGCCAAGGAATGAGAAAGAACCTGGCAGCGGCTGAGGAAACACACACAGTAGCCCGGGGAAGTTTGAAGGACAAATCGTCGGTCCGCTCTATCCTTAATAATAATGATGAAACTTCTCCCATGCAAAGCATTCTAGAGGAATCTTCCCAGGAGCATCATGAAGATCCACCTGACCTTAATGAGGTTCAGTTGGATGATGATCCGTGGCACGATTGTGCTGGTGATGACAGTCGTGATGGCACCCCAGACGGGGCTGCTATCTAGGGTCCCTCTCGCCCTTACCTTGCTGTTGTGCGTTGCTTCTCATTGTGGTGTTTCTCATGAAGATCATTACATG